TCCAAAAAAAAAAAAAGAAAAAAGAAATCACGCAAAGTCCAAATATCTTTAATTTATAAATATTATTTTATTACACACTTTTTAATTATTTATAAATAAAATTAAATTCGATAATTACTTAATTATCCATTTCAAAATGGCGGCTTGAACGAGAAACTTGACGTTTCAACCTTTAAAATTTTCGTTAAAATCTCAGGAATATTTAATCCTTATTTAGGATAACGTCAGGGGTAGGTCAGTAATTTTACCTTCGCTTTCAAGACCCTATCACGTGACATGCCTCTCTCATCTTTTTTCTCGCCACGTGGCGATTAAATTTCATGAGACCTTACTTCCTCTCGGGCCCACTTTGTCACATCGATCTTATCTCCAATACGTGCTTCTCGATCCACTTGCCACGTCACTGTACCACTGTGCAGATCCAGATCAACGGTCCAGATCCCTCTTTCTCCAACAAACTTGTTCGACCTTTAGCACTGTTCCCCCTCGTTAAATATGCCCACCGTCTCCTAACTGACACCTTCTATATTGGGAGACTGCTCGGACTGATTTACTGAGAGCAGACTGATCTACTATCCTGCGCCCTTCCTGTGTTAACGTACGCCATGGGCTTGCTTGACCAGCTATGGGACGACACCGTTGCGGGGCCACGGCCGGAGACAGGCCTCGGCAAGCTACGGAAGCACTCTTCTTTCAGTTTCCGGTCTACCTCCGGCAAGGGTATGCAGCGTTTTGCTATCTTAAGCCGGTAGAGCATTTTATGAAAACAGTACCTGCTGAGATCTAACTCGAGAGAACCAAAAGAAATGATAAACAAAATCATGTAAACCTATTGACTGGTCGATTCAGACGGTCCAGATTCTCCTGGATCTGTTTTGAAATTTAGTGCAGTCATTAGGTGGACGATAACGATTCCTATTAAATTATCCAAATATTTTCTAAATTTATTAAAAAAAGTGTATATAAAATGTGTTGATATGTGTGTGCTTGTGATGAAGTGAATCAATCGAGTGTGAATGAGACTATTCGTGCTTGTTCGGTGTCAGATCTGTTGTGATCATGAGATATGATCAGCGGATGATATGCTAATCCGGTTTCTCTTTTGATCAGAATCAGGTAACGTTAGATCTTTCGGTGATGATTCGCCGGAGGAGGCGGCGAGAGTAACGCGTAGTATAAGAATAGTAAAGCCGCCAGGGTACCAGAACGGTTCGCCGCCAGGGTACCAGAACGGTTCGCCGCCAGTATCGCCTGCAGGTTCCACCCCACCTTTGTCTCCATTTTCCGGTGAGGTTATTCTCTAACTTCCCGACTTGCCCCTAAACTTTTCGCAAAATTTCCAACTGATCTCTCCAGGAAACCCGGGTACTCACTGTCTAGAAGGATCCTATAAGGGGTAGTTATGTCAGTTTGTCTGTTGCGTGATAAGTGAACTACGGGGGCATTTTAGTCATTTCATAATCTATGTGCAAACTTTGTCAATGGATAATGATAATGCAAATGTTAGGTTATCTTTTTTATATTTGTTCTTAGGTGGGAATCGGAAATGACTTCTGTGTCCTTATATGGCGTAAGATATATCATCATGCATGTAGGCCAGCTCCGTATTAGTTTTGGCCATGTTCAATTATTTGGGGCTGTTAAATTATAGTGCCCTTATTGGATGGGCGCATACGGAGACCAGACGGGCTCGACAAATTTAATTGTGTGGGTCGTCTCGAAGATTTACACGTATGACATATCATTTCATATTATCCGGGCTGTACTTTACACACACACACACACATGTATATAAAGGCACGTGCACTCCACCTATATGTATATATTTTTGCAGAAGTATTAATTTGGTTTCTGAAGGATGTTTACTGAAAGTAAATTATTACATATGTAGAATTACTGTACTAGTTAGATACAGTAAATTATGATCTTGTCTAGGACTCTATTTTGTAGCGTGAAATGTAACGTTAAGCAGAAATAGAAAAACGTAAACTACTGCTCATTTGCAATGAACTTTTTACCTAGACTGGGGAGTGTATTTGTGGGCTAAATTAAAGAGAAATTAGTATTATAAATGCTTCATGAGTACATATACAGAGATTGGTTGCAGTATGAACATGCAGTAGGGAGTAAGCAAATTACAGAATAATATAATTCTTTTATATTGTTTTACTTTGTTGGGATTTGTATTTAGATGATGGGATGGTTGTTTTCTGTAACTTGGTTTGGGTAATTAAGATAAACATGAATGTGGGTGTAGGAGGAGGCAGAGAGACATCGTACCGGTTTAGAAGGAGGTCAACATCGGATGCATACGAGAAAGGAAGCGAGGACGTCGGAGCCAGGATTGTTCCTCCTTATAACGATGTGTGAGCTTTAGAGAAACTCAAAACCTTTTCGCCTTTTGTTTCATCCCGGCTGCCGGAAATCTTCGGAGGTATGATTATGGATCGCCGATGAGACTAGTAGAATGCCCGACCTTCATTCCCCCTCCCGCAAAATCGTATAATATCCAGGTCGAATTCCTCTGTAGCTTATAGTCTATTCTGCAATGAGTGTTTATGTTATATTGGTACTATTATCCCGTCCTATGCAACCTTGGTGTCTTACTACTTGTAACATATATATATATATATAGCTAGGTATGCTAATATATGTATGTAGTTATGTATGTAACGTAGTGGCAGTTTGTTTCGTGTAAATAGAGAGGGCTGTAGCGATGTTTTTGTTATGCAACGTTGTCGTTTCTTCTTTTCTTGGGAAATAAGAATGATCTTTGATCTCCCTTTCTCTGCTTCACTGTGGTGTGATTTTTTGGTGTGCTATAGCTACAAGAGAAATAAGGTGATAGCCTATCTTCCTGAATATAAATCTGGCGTGTTCTTCTTATTACTTGTCACACACCTACACGCAGCTAAATAGTTATCTGCAAATTATAATAGATCAGTGGGTATGGTGATGAAAGAAATTGTGAAAAAACTAGTGATATCAGTGTCTACGGTTGGTGGTGGGGAATGGGAATGGGAATGGGAGGGAGATTGATATTAGGGTTGTACAGCAAGTGGGTGTTTGCTAAAGCTGGAACAGATGAGGATGATATATGCAATATACAAATATGTATATGGTTGGTGGTGTTTCATCATCATCATTATAAGTGCAGCAATATATATATATATATGTAAGTATGTGTATGTGTGTGTGTGTGTGTGTGTGTGTGTGTGTGTGTGTGTATATAAGGAAAGGTTGTAGCAAGTTGAAGATGTGATGGGACTATGACTGACACTGTCTTTGGTATCCATATGGTGGGGCGGATATATGTATATATTCATTGTAATTTACTGATAGGATGCGGCCAAGAATTCTCAATGCTTTTGTTTTTTATTCAAGTACTGTGTGGGAGTTAGCGGGATAGATATTGAGAGCCTGGGACCATTCATACTTGTCTGCGTAACCGGGTGTTTATCTGTCAGTATATACATTGTCACTGCCTCGTTGGAATTGAAACGTGGGTGTATCATTTATTTTTCTCTTATCCACTTCATGTATAAATTTATGCTGGAAAATTCCCATTAGATACTAATCTTGGGTTCTGTAAATGTCCAGATATAACGTATGAGAATGAGGTGTGCGCATTAAGTTCCATTCAATACGTATGTATGTGTATACATGTCAGATTATGTGTGGGTATTCCTGAATTACTTGTTGGGAGGTTTTGTTTCAAAGACTTGGATATGATTTGTGGCTGTCATTTTCAGGGGGCGCAGTACGGGTACGGCCTCCTCGCCCTTGCGAAATTGGTTATATTGATCCAGGACTGAATATAATACATATTATGTAATGTACAGCTGCATGTCAAATAAGCACGGGGTACTCCGAGGAAGCTATTTGTAGCCCCCGGAAAAAAAAAAAAAAAAAAAAAAAAAAAAAAGGGGGGGGCCACGTCAGCAGCCACGTCAGCAGGCCCGGTCAGCAGTCCCGGCCAACCGGGGCCTGCCACGTGGCAAGATCGCGTCACTCCAAAAGGAGCCACGTTGGCGATCCGCGTGGGTGCGATCCGACGGCCCAGATCAATCGCGCGATCGGACGGTCCAGATTCAAACGCACGGACGGCCCAGATTCAATCAAAAACGAACGGCCCAGATTAAAACGAAATGAACGGCTGTGATCAAAAGGCAAGGGGTTATAAATAGAACCCCCACACCAGACCACAAACCCTAGCCGCCAGCCGCTCGCCGGAGAAGACGAACCAGAGGCCGACCGCCGCCACCCGCCGCCACTCGCCGCCGCACCGGGGAAATTTCCGACCGCCGATCGAGGTAAATTTCATACCCCCGACTCGTTATTCCCCACTGATTCCTCCTATGGCCAAATCGAAGCCGAAATCCCGGCCAAACGGCCGGAATACGCGGCCGAAGCCCAGTGGTGCCGCCGCGCCCCCTCTCGATTTTTGCCTCCGACGAGGCCCTTCCCGGCCTCCGTTCGATGCAATTTTTATATCACCGTGATCACCATTCTTTTCTCTACAGGTTGACCGAAGCCAAATCACCAAAACACGAACCTCGCCGGAGAGTCGCCGTACCCGAGAGCGCCGCCGCCGGTAAGCTCCGCTTTTCCGTGATTTTTTGGCCCCCCGAGGGCCCTAGGGTTGTTTCCTGACAAGGACCAATGCGAGCCGCCGTGCCGGAGTTGCGATTTGGGCCGAAAGAGGCCCTGGGCCTAATTTGGATTTTTTTTGGAACACGTGCAGGTACTGTTAGTGTGTTTCAGTTTCCCGGGAAAAAATTCAGGGAAAAATAGGGACAGCCTGCAGGCGCACTGTGAATCGTATTCGGATCCCGAAACCAAGTAAGGACCCCTCACCCTATTTCCTATCACGGTATTAAAGTTCAAAATGATAAAACAGTATTTCTTGAATTAACGCATGTGTGAAATTGCTTAAGGTTGCTAATGGAGCCCGAGTCTAGTGTGATTGATGATTTACTGTTATTTGGCCTGTTTACAGCTTTAAATGCAAAATGAGGTTTGATGTGTTCATTTCACAGATTTGTGTGCATGTACTACGTTTTTATTAATTATGGGTTGAATGACTGAAAAACTGATACTGTATGTTGTCTGT